GCAGACTGCTCCAGCCCAGGACCCAGCCCCAGCAACTCTTGTTTGGCCTTTCGTGTTTGTGCGATCCTCAAGCCACGCTGAGGCAAAATGGCGTTCAGCAGCTCGGGGTTTCAGGCCACATATCCAGGGAGGGGAGGCTCCTCTTAGCCGTTTCAGCTCAAGGACTGGATTACCCTCAAGGACAACCTGGAGCTGCATGCCCATTATGACCCAAGGATAGTGACCAAGCCAGGGGGACATGTCTCCTTCTGAGCAGTCCTGGGCTTCTCCTCAGAGCCAGGAGTTACAGGAAAGAGGCTCTTTAAGCAGGAACATTGGGAGGTGCCCTGAAGAGTCCTCCTCACGCTCCTCCCTGCTTTCTCCTCACCTGGCCCCTACCTCAGCCTAGCCACTCAGAGAGAACAGCTGAAACCAGGCTCCGTGGTTCACTGAGTGCTTCTCTTGGGTGGATCTGGGTGGAAGTGTTTCTTTAAGGCAGAATTGCGTTACCCAATTAGGCGCTTGGGAGCTGGCAGGAGCTGGTGGGGGTTGTTGATTTTTTTTTTTTTAAAGACGTTTTAGCACCAAAGCTGTGTGATAAAGTAACTGTGTAATTAGGAATTAATTTCTCACTCTTGAAACTGATATCTTACTTGGGGCCTGAGGGAAGTCAGCCCCATGGTTACTCACCCACTCACGGGCTTCGATTCACCTCATTAGGAGCTAGGACAGGGGCTCAGAGACCACTTTCAGGTTGACAGGAGGAGGGGATGGCTTTTGTCATTGCAGGCGGCCTTGGGCACAGAGTGGGTGGTATTATTCACATTTAGATGGATTCTCCTGAGTGTCTCCAGGGTGTGGGCAGCAGGTGAAGCTGGGCATGAAGGTCAGAGGTGGGGAGATGGGCATGCCCAGTGCCACAGGGTATGTGTGGGCGCCGTTGCTATTGGCCTACCTCCCTGAACTCCATGCTGAAACTGGATCCCAGGGTCTCACATGCTCACACTAGGCAAGTTCTCTGCCCTGTGCTGCAGCCCGGCGTTGCTACTTCAGTTCCCAGATATCCCTATGGTCTCTCCGGGCTCCTGGATGGGGTCATACCTGGACCACTCCGAATAGCTCATCCTTACTGTTTGCCTCTCCTCCCTTCCCACGCTTCTGTATCCATTCTTGAGTATATGAGCACTCTGAGTCCCTGGCTCCGTCGGGGGGTGGGGGGGAACCCATCCCGGCCAGGCAAGTGGGCTGTGAGGATGGTCAGAACAGGGGTGATGGTGAAGTTCTGCACTTGGTGAGAAGCAAGACATGCTTCATGGACGAGCAGAGGAGGTGGGGGGGGTGCTCTGGTACTGCAGAGTGGGGTGAGCCTGGCTGAAGGGAGGAGGAGGGATGAGGGAGGAGTAGGGATGAGGGGGGAGGAGGAGGGATGAGGGAGGAGTAGGGATGAGGGAGGAGGAGGGATGAGGGAGGAGGAGGGAGGAGGGGTGAGGGGCGAGGCCAGACTGGAGGGCCTTGAAGGGTGTGGTTGGTGGTTTGGGTCTTCTGAGAACAGTGAGAGCCACAGAAGGTTTTAAGCAAGCACACCTCCCTCCGAGGTTCAGGTATGGTGATGTGAGATGGTTGGGCTTGGGGGAGGGGAAAGACGGAGACAGAGAACAGAAGGGAGGCGGTCTCAGGCTGTCAGGAGACAGGGATGATGAGATGCTGTCTCAGCAGGGACAGTGGAGATGTCAGCAGCTGTCCCAGGTTGGACTTGCTGGTGCAAGAGTCTCTGTCAGGACAGCGAGGTTCCCGGGGCAGAGACTTAAACACACAGTTCTGGCCTGCCAGTCAGATGTTCTCCCCTGACTCTCCCATGACTGTCCAGCATCCTTTTCTGACATCTTCCCCTCAGGGAAGAATGGGAGCCTCTGGTTCTCCACTGTGCACCTAATGTGTGCTTCTTACCCACCAAATGCATTTAGATCACTGTGCACCCTAATGTGTGCTTCTTGTGTACCTAATATGTGCTTTTCATGCACCAAATAAATTTAGACTGTCCTCCTCCTTGAGACTGGAAATAGGTGCAGCAGAATGTCCCAGTAGGGTCAGGGGACATAGAAGAGGGTTTAAAAGAAACCGACCCTAGAAAGCCCCACAGTGTCCAGTTAGTTCATGTTTCTAAAGAACTTGGTAATATTATATATTTCCCCCTTTTCAATTAGCTGCCAGGAAGCTTGGAATTCAGATTTTGATATTAAATTCTACAAGATGTTGGGGGGTAGGGTTTGGGTTTTTTTTTTTTAAGTGGAGAGCCTGAGGGATGCACTGATGGGGTTTCAGAAAATTTTGCAGCTCGCTCTGGAGGGTGTACACCTGCCTGGAGACCTGGAGGGTGAGGTCCAGGGTGGAGGGAAGGGGCTGGATTAGTGAGCAGTGTCTCTCTAAGTCTGTTCCACCTCAGCTTCGAGGTCTTTATGTACTGCTGGACTCCAGTTGCTTGGGTTCCTCTAGGGAACAGAGTATAGGGGTAGCTGAGTCTGAACCCAAGCCAGCGAGTCCGATCAGCTTCCACTGTGAGGATGCGTTTAGACACTGTTGTTAACTAACTGGGCAATTGTGGGCCTTGGTGATATCCGGCCACAACCCTCAGCCCATCCAGGATCCAGGGAGACTGTCTATTCTCCTTGGTTATGGAAGACAATGTAAGAGAACAGTTTCTCACCAAGATGCTGAACCTCCCCGGTCAGCCTTATCCCAGCCCTGTGCTCAGTGCTGAGAGTCAGGCTGTGGACCTGGGGGCTCTGGGAGGGAGATGGTGGTGTGAGTCACCATGAGGGTCCTGGAGTCGGGGACTGAGGTGTCCTGAGGATCCCCTTGCTGAGGCTGCTCTAGAGCAGGGCTCTCTCCAAAGTTAATGGACACAGGTTCAGAATAGTGGTTGCATTCAAATGTGGGAGCCTCAGGCAGACAAACACAAAGAACTAGCAAGACAAAGCCCTCAAACAGCCCCACCTCTCAAGCCTGCTTTGTTTTGTTTTTGATATTTCACAGGGGTAAGAATGGCTCTACGTCCCCTCTGTCCTGAGCCAGGCAGCTGTGCCACGTGGGTCTTTGTGGCACAGTGGGTCCTTGTGGCACAGTCCACGGGAAGCCCCTGTTCTACACTCTTAGCAGAACATTCCCTGCACCTCCCATGACCACACCCAGAGGAAGCTGTGTAGGCAGGAAGAGGGTCTACAGAGTGGGTGAACGCTGTAGGGGGTTCACCATGCTCTCTCTCTGTGTGTGTGTGTGTGTGTGTGTGTATGTGTGAGCATGTGCCGCCCCCACAGTGCCTCCGTCACAAGCATCCCCCAGCTGCTGGGGAGAGCTCTTCTTCACAATATGAAGATGACAGTTTGGCTCACCCACGCATGGAATCCTCACGCGGCCCACTCCCTACTCCCTGCTCAGCCCTCTTGTCCTCTCCCATACCCAGGCCTCAGTCTCACCCTCTCTGCTGGCCGCTGCCCTGCACCTTCCCCTCCTACCCTCCCTTCCTCAGATCGTTCTCTCTGATTCTAATCTCTGAACCATTTTTGAGGTCACCCATTCTGAATTTAGGCTAAAGCAGGAGTGTGTATGTGTGTGTGTATGTGTGTGTGTGTGTATGTATGTATGAGTGAGCTCAGGTGTGCACATGTGGGGGTTGTGCACACAGAGCGAGGTATGGACAAGAGTGTGGGGAGAGACGGGGCATCTCAGGTGAGGCAGCTTTCTCTCAATTACTCCTCAAGCGACAGGAGGGGGCGGTGGCTCACAACAGTTGGACAGGTTTATTGGGTGTGTAGGAAAGCCTTCATTTCCCGCCCACACTGGTGACAGGTGGAGCTGGCAGCCTTGCCAGAGCCAGGGTGGGATGGGGGGAGGGTCTATTGAGGGACATCTGAGGTTAGCTGTCGGGGAGTGGGCAGTGGTGTCTCAGCAAGTAGCATCTGACTGATGCATGGACCATTGCGTGGATCATTAAGATCTGCCCAGTGGGAGATCTGGGAAGGCTCCCTGGAAGAGGTGATCACCAGCAAAGCACTGCAAATGGAATGGGGAGAAGGGTGTGGGGGTGAGGCTGACAAGGAGACCAGGGCAGCCTTGAGGCTGTCTCTTTTGTTTGAGTCGCCCTTGTCCAACAAGTCTGCGGTTGAGACATTTTGAGTCCCCAGAACTGGCACTGGTCTGGTGCATTCTGGACTCAATATGGAAAAGCTTCTAGTGCTCCAGGACTGTGTGTAGGACATGATTCCATCCCAGGAGTGGGACAGTTTCTTCAGGCAGAAGAGACCTGAGGAAAAGTCTCGGCAGAACGTCTGTGAGCCTGAGGTGGTAGTTGAACCATTCAGAACTTCCAAAGAAACAACACCCCCGCCATATTTTGGAGATGTGACACAAGAAGTCCATGCTAGCTCAAGGTGGGGGAGAGAGGAGGCTAGCCCCATCAAATGGTGGCTCTAGCCTTATCTAAGGTGACCTAAGCCCTTAACATCATCTGCCATATCTTGCTTTCTTACTGAGGCTTTGGCCCTTGCTGTAGTGGGCCCCTCCTAGGCCCTTATCTGTGATGGAGGCCTTATAAAACCATTTTTTTTTTATGTTAGTGACACCCAGTTTCTATGTGGTGCCAGTCTGAGGTCCCTCACCCCTCTAGGGTTTAATCTGATGGCCAAGTTTGGAAGGGAAGTTTCAGAAGTGGGACTGACACAGGTCATGGTTTAGATGGCTAGGGTCTAGGTGACAGCCACCTGGCATGGTCCTGGCTCTACAGTAGGGATCTGTCTCTGTTCCTTCTACTCCTGCCCCGGACTATACCTGCTCAGTCACTGTGGCAGGTGGGGTCTTGCTTTTTTCTAACCTTGCTTACAGAGGAGACTGAGCCCAGGGGAACATCACAGCTGGAATTTGGTCCTTTCCTTACTCTAGGGACTGTGGGTGGCTGGGTGGCCCCAGCTTGAGACCTGGTTCTGCGTCTCTTCTATGCCACCCCTCACTCTCTCCTTTCTCCATAGGATGGTCGAGTACTCTCTGGACCTACAGAACATCAACCTGTCAGCCATCCGTACTGTGCGAGTCCTGAGGCCTCTCAAAGCCATCAACCGTGTTCCCAGTGAGTTGGTCCTCCCTGCCCACTCATTACTGACCGCCCAGCTTGACCTATTTATTCACTCAGAGAAGATGGATCAGTCCCTTTCTTGGCCAGAACCACCCTCATGGTGCTGGATAGATGTCACCTTGCTCCCATATGGGCCGGCATGTGGGACCCAGAGGTGCCGAGGGTGGGTGGGAGGTAGGTCTTGATGCCTCTGAGTCCTCAGATAACTTGGATTTCAGGACTTGAGAAGTTCAACTGTTCTGGGGTAAAAGGTTACTTGGGGGTGGTCTCCATAGGCTGTCAGAGGGGGCCTGTGTAAGGAAAGAACATGACCAGCCTAGCAAGAGTGAGTTTAGTGCATCCTGGGAAGCCAATCCTGGCAGGCTTAGAGTTTGAATCTGTCAGCTACTCATGCATAGGGCTAGTTACACCTTTGTTACCTGCCTTCTCACACACCCACACACTCGTCTGTCCATCCACCCACCACCCATCCTACTCACCTGTTCATGCATCTGTCCATCCACTCATCCCCACACACCTATCTATTGCCAGACTTCTTGGACCCATCAGCAGACGAATAATGACATAGAGTCTAACTAATTCTATTTCAGCTCAGGTGACCTCCCAGCTAGGTCATCTAACTTGATTAACCCTATTATTCTGGTCCATGTCCCACTATGTGGCCCGTCACCTCTCCCTCTCCCTCTCCCTCTCCCTCTCCCTCTCCCTCTCCCTCTCCCTCTCTTCCCTCTCCCTCTCCCTCCTTCTCCCTCTCTCTTCCAGTACATCCAACCTCCTCTGTTTCCCATTGTCAAGACTCCTAGAGTCTTCTCCCAGAGACCCTCTCTCAGACTGGAAGTCCCACTTTCCCTTTCCTGCCCAGATATTGGCTGTCAGCTCTTTATTAAGCTAATCAGCATGTGAGGAAAAAATATGTTTACTGAGGCAGGTGACAAACCATAAGAATAACAATACCAAAATCTGGACAGTACTCAGCTCTCTGCTGGTACAGAATTAAACACTGAATAATACAAAGATGACCTTCGCACAACGCACCCCAACACCTACCCACTCACTTGTTTATGGATCTATTACTCATTCACTCACCTGTCTATGCATGCTTTCTTGTGTCCATCCACCCAAGCATCTACCCACCTGCCCTTTCATCCATCTGTCCATCCTCCCATCTATCCACTCATCTGTCTGTCTGTCTGTCCCATTTACTACCCATCCACTCACACATTTACCTATCTATCAATATATCTATCAATCTACCTATCATCCATCCATCTATCTATCTATCTATCTATCTATCTATCCATCCATCTGCTCATCTACCCATTTACCCCTTCACCCCGCTTTCCCATCTTCCCGCCTAGTTATCCATCCACCTATCCATCTCCCCACCTACACATCTGTATACCCGCCTATCTACCCCATACCCACCTTACACTGAGAGGTTGCCTTGAATCCACAAGCCCTGAGGTCTGCTCTGCATTTCCCAGTCTGTAGTCCTTGATGTTTGAGCCTTACATTTACCCAGGGAGGGATTTGGGCTGTTCTTATTTGGGGGGATGAAGAAGCAGCTTCAAAGACATGGTTCCCTCCTAGAGGATGCACTGCCAGAGAGTAGCACATATACGATGCCTCCTCCACCACCCTATGTTAGGAGTGGGAAGAGGTAGGGACATAGGCTTGGGACTTTTAGGTCTATCTGGAAAGTCCAGGAGATGTCCTTCCCTTCCCTTCCCCTTCCCTTCCCTTCCCTTCCCTTCCCTTCCCGTCCCGTCCCGTCCCATCCCCTCCCGTCCCTTCCCTTCCCTTCCCTTCTTTCTCTTCTATTCCCTTTCTTTCTTTCCTTCTTTCTTTCTTTCTTTCTTTCTTTCTTTCTTTCTTTCTTTCTTTCTTCCTTTCATGTGCATGTGTGCTTAGTGTGCATGTGTGCATGTGCATTTGAAGGTATGTGTGTGTTTGCATGTTTTCCCGATTGCACAGAGGCCTGAGGTTGATGTCAAAAATCTTCCTTGACCACTGTCTACATTACTCTTTGAGGCACAGTTTCTTAACTGGACCCAGAGCTCAGTGATGCAGCTACTGTGGCTAGCCCATTTGCTCTGTTTCTGCTTTCTAAGGATTTCAACCATTCAGTGCCTAGAACTGTGGAAGGAACCCCTCAACATGTGTGAGACCCACATGCTCAATGAACACATTGATCCATCCTCCCGTGCAGGGCCACAGAGATGCTAAGGCACAGAGAGTGGTGTCTTGGGTCCAGTAAAGCTCAGGATGAGGGTTGGGGAGGGCATCTGAGCTGAGACCTTGGAAATCTGGGGATTAGCTGCAATGGGAAAGATCAGTGAGGCAAAGGGGAGTGGGGCATGGCTGGAGCAAAAATCTAGAAGTCATTAGCCTCTGACTATTGGGGATCTCAGACACAGGCTGCTTCAGGAGCCAGGTGAAGACCAGGGAGTGGGCTTGAGTCTGGTGTGACTGGAGAGGTCAACAGGAGAGTGTTTCAGACATGGCTGTGTCAGGAGTGTGGGGACAAGCTGGTCCCTGAAGCTGTTCTGGTATCTCAGGGAAGCAATGGCTAAGGTTGGGCAGGGCAGAGAGATGGAGGGGATACTCCTGGACCAGCTCAGGTCTGAGAGTCATTAGCATTAGCTTTGAGCCACTAAGGGAAAGGCTCAGCCCTAACTACATAGAGCAGGGCCCATCTCTTATTGCCCCGCCTGTAATGCTTCTATTTCTGTCCTGGGGATGGGAGGGGTGGCTGCCTTCATCACCAGTCGTGCTCCTGGGATGGAGCCTACAGGCCTGGTCACTTTAGAGGTGAGGGGAATGTGGTAGGGCATTCTCCACAAGGGCATTCATACAGGATCTTACGTCACGGTCTCCATCAGGCCCAGGATCTGACAAGTATGGCACAGCCGTGTGAAGGGATGTTAGCAAATGCGATAGGCCTGAAGGGACTGGACAGACATGCAGGGTGTGGGTCTTTCTCCTGCTTGATGGTTTCTGAACAGGTGTGTGGATATGGAGATCTACATGTATTCACAGGAGAACACATGTGCACACATGTGAATGTATATGTGTGTATGTAAATGTGTGGTGTGTGTGTGTGTTTGTAATTGCTTGTGTGCCATGTCATGGTGTCTGTCACTCATGAACAAATATATGAAACCTGGCCACTCTATTTCTCCACGTTTCCCAGATCCCTGGCTGGCTGTGTACAGAGCTTGTTAAGTGGCTTTGGGACTGAGGTGGTCTCTCAATGACCCAAACACCAGCTTGCCCATTCTCAGGAGAAGGGCAGGGGTCAGTCTTGAGCCTAGCATCCCTATGTTCCTGTAAGTTCCAATTATCGAAGCTCTGGGCACAGATAGTCAAGGTAGGCTCCAAGCCTTGCCTCAGTACCTTCTATCAGCTAATGGCACCCCTGGGACTCCTCAGATGCCCTCTTAGCGGGCAGTTATCTCTCTCAGAGTTCAGCATTGTGGAGTTGCTGAGAACATGAACCATCAGGATCCAAAATACCTTCAGATCAAGAAAGCAGCTACATTCCACAGAAAAGACCTTAGGATAAAACTACTCTTCCTCTTTCTCTTTTTCTTCCCTCTTCCTCTTCCTCTTTCTCCTCCTCTGCTTCTTCCTTCTCCTCTTCCTCTTCCTCCTCTTCTTCTTCCTCTTCCTCTTCTTCTTTCTCCTCCTCCTTTTTGAGACATGTCTCTACATAGCCCTGTCTGTCCTGGAACTCACTCTGTAGACTAGGCTGGTTTTGAACTCAGAGATCCACCTGCTTCTGCTTCCCTAGTGCTGGGATCAAAGGCATACCTTGCTACTTCCCAGTTTAAACTAACCTCCTTTAGTAACTAAACCCCAGGAGTACAGGACAGTTAGAAAATGGAGATACCCGAAGTCCAACAACTCAGCCCCTCATTCTGAAGGAGAAGCTCTTTTGTCCCTGGTTGTCCTGTCTTCCACTAGGAGTCACCAGGTAATGAGTGACCTGACAGGGGGCCTGGGCTCTTTAGCTGTGTCTGCCTTGGGATGTGTTCAGCAGTAGCCTGCAGCTCTCCATTTCACCACTAGATGGCAAGCTAGAGAGCCAGCCTTGGACAGTCAGATTATCCGTGATTAATTGGGAAATCAAGGAGGCAGGGTTACCTGAACCTTAAAAAATGCAGTGTAGGATAGAGTCTTAACTTGATCATCCATAAATACCCAACTAGGGATCAGAGAGTGCAAGTCCTGTTCTCCGCTTTGTTGCAACATGGGCCTCAGTTTCCCTACTGGCACAGAGCAGAAGAGAGGCTGAGTTAGCTATATGGTTCTCAGCTTTGATAGTATAGGAAGGGGTCCCAGAAGTCAGAGCTCTTGTTACAGAAAATTTCAAAGTATATCCGTTCAGCCCACCCCTGCAGCTTCCTTAGCTCCAGCCTTTGGTGGATGAGGGAGACAGGAAGGGAGAAAGGTGAGGAGAGAGGCAAGGTCTGAGTTCTGGCTCTTTACTGTTCAATCTCTTATTAGCTACTGCTCCTCTCTGGGCCTTGGCATGATGGGACTGGATTATCTGCAAGGCTGCATCCCCTTCTAGGCCTGCCTCTGTCTACATCCCCATCCCCAAGTTACCACAAAGTTTCCTTGAGTCCCATTGGTTGAGATCTTTCAAAGTGCAAAGCTGCCTTCTCCTTCAGTTAGAAACTTGGGCAGTCACTGGGGAACATGGAGCTGGCCCATGCTGCATCTAGTGGTTGCACTCCAAGCTAGGCTGTTGAAAGGGCGTCTGCTTCAAGACTCTGAGCAACCTTCAGGGACTGAGTTGTGCCTGGGCTTAGAGTCACCGGTTCTGTCACAATCTACCTTCCCGCAAGGAACCCTGGGTTGGTCTGAGTTGTCTATATAGAATGGAGAAGATACTTCAAGATACCCATGGATGGGGTGGGGTCAATACTACATTGCAGCAGGAAGCTCTGAGCTACAGCTCTCTCTACTGCACTGTCAGCCCAAGGTTC